TGGCATGACTTGTTGTTCTTAGTGAATTCACACTCATTGCCAGTGATCAGCATTTCCTTACTATGTATTGTTTACAAATCTTCCATTCTAGAATTTGTTTGCAATCTGCATAAGGCTCATTAGTTTTTATATGAATCTCACTCTTTCACCCTTTTTAGAAGTAAAAACATTTCTAGCCACGAGGCACGTCTTTATTCTCCTTAATGCTCAGAAGCAGTTCTCTGATCTCATCTGCAAATTCATTTGATACTTTGGGATGGAATTTGTATTAACTGAAGTTTTGAACTCATTTATAATAGGTGAGGATTCTCTTGCTATCTCTTTTCCTATTGTGGGTTTTAATTCTCTCTTCATAATTTTTGCCTCACAATTAATGTTCACTCTCTATGAGAGAGATATGGAAGGAAAGCAGAAAAGTGAAGAAAAGTTCTTTGGTTATGCTATCATTTGTTCAGGTTATATTGTCTTAGGGATAGCACAGCTATTCCTTCCCTGATCTTTTCTTGGCTACAGAAATTGAAAAGAAAAACAGCTATCTTGTTGTCTTTAGTGTTTATCTCAGGCCCCAATTTATTTTGATACTTTACAATCTCATTTTACTCTAAACAGTTTTTTCCTTTCTCATATTACATGCATGGTTCTGTCTGCCTCCATCCATCTTTTTGACCACAGGGGTCATGGAACCCTCTGAGCCACCAGGACTTGAAGTCTTCTGACTCCAGATCCAACACTCCTTCCACTTTTTCTCCAAGAGCCCCTAAGCTACCTCTCTGTTCATACTGTTTAGTTTTTCAGCTCAAGCTCAGCACCTGATTTATGGTCAATTATGACAGATTATTTATCCCTATTCCATTTGATTTCTAGTCAACAGATATATCTTTCTTCCTCAACAGGACCATTTTTAAAAATAATGCTGAGATAGTTCTTTTGAAAGTCCACATTCCTCTTGTAAACACATTTCCTTGGGCACTATCATTTTCTTTGCCTTTTTTGAAGCCCCCTTTCTGAAGGCCTGATCATTACCTATTTTTTCCTATTGTAAAACATCAAGGCCATATGATCCCAAGGTTTCCCTGTTTCTACATTTGACACCTCATTCTTTCTTGGTCAAACTGGAATCCAGGATAGAAGTTTCCCAAATTTATTTCTTTACCTGCTGAGGGAAAATGATCAGCAACACAGGCCAAGAACAAACCATTTGTTCTGCTCTGTACTGGGTTTACTATGTCCTTACCCACCAATTTATGTCCACTTGGAACTTGTGAATGTGATTTATTTGGAAATACAGTTTTTGCAGATGTAATCTAGTTAAGATGTGGTGGTGTTGGATAAGGGTGGGCCTTAAATCTAATATGACTAGTGTCCTCATAAAAAGAGGAAAAATTCAGGCACAGGGACACACACAGGGAGAATGTCATGTGGAGAGAGAGGCTGAGAGTGGACTGATGACTCTATAAGCCAAGGAACACTAGGGATTGAAATTAGGAAGAGACAAGGAGGGACCTTTCCCTAGTGTCATCAGAGGGAACATTGCCCTGCCAACACCTTTATTTCAGACTTGTAGCTGCCAAACAGTGAGAATAAATTTCTGTTTTAAGTCACCCAATTTGTGGTAATTTGTTATGGTAGCTCTGGGAAACTAATACATGCTGTTAGTAGGATGAGACCACTAGCAGATTCCAGATGGACAATTCTGTAGCAGTTTCACTACATGTATTAGAAAATAGCATGGTGAGGCAGTAGGAACATAGACTTTAGAGTTAAAGAACCATGCTCAAGTCTTAGACTCACCACTGGTGAGTTGGGAGATTTGGGGCATGGCCAATTAATCACTCATAACTGCCATAAGATGGTGATTATGCATCATTCACCTGATAAATCCACTGCAAGGCTAGAGTAAAAAAAAATGTGAGAAAGCACATTTCAAGGTGTAGAGCCACAGCAAAGGCTATGTAGCCCTGTTTTACCTAATTTCCTTCACCTGTCTGTCTGTCTGTATTACACTCCCTTAAAGATACTACTTTCATTTCTTTTTGGGTTTATCCTTTCTTAAATGTGTCTATCTTCAGACTTTAAATGTTCATAGGAATGTATACATTCTTGACATACAGTTTTCCTTTCAAAGAGACATTTTCTCTTTGAACAAGGAATACATGCTCTTTTATTGTTGTATTCCAGGTGTGCATCTCATCAATAAGTCTCAATGATTCTGAGACATAATTTATCAATCCTTACCTAAAAATCTTAAAAGTACGTCGGATACTATGTGAATTGACATATACACATTTGAGTTCTAGAGATATTTTAGACCTATTAATACTTCTGTGACATCTCCTGAGAATGATAAGATTTCTCTTCCATGGAATCCTTGCAGTATTTCATTGTGTCTGGTTTTAAGTGGTTTATGCCTCTATTATTTTTTTTTCTGAGATTTGTTTCTTATACTAGGTAAGTCTTTTCTCCTCTAGTGCATTTGAACACAGTCTTCTTCAGCTTCTCTTCTGGTTGATTTTCCATAATTTTGCCTAGTGCAATTTGGTTGTCAAACAGACATTACTGTGAGCTAAAATATTCTATGATTTTATTTTAAGAAAACATTTTTTCTCTTATAGCTTAGAAAAGAAGTAGATTTAAGGAGAACATTATGGTCCCCCTCCCCCAAATATCTGACAGGCTGTCACATGAAAAGGGGATTAGATTTATTCTACATAGAACCATAGAAATTATAGAGGCAGATGTACTCTTGACATAATAATAATAAAACTTTTCTGCTGATCAGAGCTGTCTAAAAACAGAATGGCATGCCTTATGAGGTTGACAGCTCTATTTCTAAAAAGGTTCAAAGAAAGCATCTTAGATCAGGTTCTCCAGAAGTAGAGCCTGAAATAGTGATTGTTGTGCAAGTGATTCATTGAGGGAGTAGGCTCAGGAGAAGCCACAAAGGAGACAGGGAAGGCAAGGAAGGGAGCTGGGCAAAGATGTGGTGTAAACTAAAGCCTAACTCCACCCTGATCTCACTGGGAGTTCTGGAGCATGAATGATATCACAGTGGGATCCTGCTTGAGACAAAGGAGTTGGGCCTTTTGTGCCTCTTTATCAATCAGCCATTGCCTGTGGGCTGCTCATGGAGGTGTGTGTATATGGGGTGGGGGGCATAAGCCTTACAGGCATTTCTAGGCAAGGCACCTCTGCTGAAAGCACTTCTTAGGTGAAGGGTATAGCTGTGAGCTCTCTCCAGCCAACCCTTGCACAGCTGGGGCAGGGAGGCATTCACCAGATAAATGGGATCTGGGTAGGATACCAATAGTACCTTCTATAAAGAGGATGGTTTGTTCTGTCCATAATAGAAATGAAATAAGGAATCAGGAGACTTGAGTTCTAGCTTTAGTTTTGCTACTGATAAATACATTTCTGATACTCCATTTTAATATCCTATAAAATCAGTATATTGGAAATTGTGATCATTAAAGTCTCTTTATCTCTAAAATGATATTGTTGTAGGATGGCATGCTGTGGAGGATAGTTTTGGCATATGGGGTGGAGATCCTCAGGTGTAGGATTGGTGAAAGGACAAGACACTGTTTACTGCAGTGGGTCTGTGAGATCTCATACATCCCAAGCATTGTATTTACATTAGTAATGTGAATAACTTACTATTTTTACCTATATCTACTATTTTTATATATGTGATAGATAAAGTAGATTTTCATTTTAAAAGCATTATGGAATTTATACTGATTATATTATGTATTTTCTCAATCATTAGATTCTACAACGACAATCTTTATTCCCAAGGATGGGGAGAATTCTCTAAAGTAATATTGATAGAAAAGGGAATATACCTACAGTATAGAATGAGACCATGATTAGATAATGTGTAAGAACTCAGTGAACTTGTTCATATTATCTGAATTTTGTCAACTTAGATTATGACTCTTTTCATGGTAATTTTTCAGCATGCATCCATTTGAGTTTAGGAATATGCAGCAATTAATAATGAGGAAAATAATAAAATGAATTAAATTCCCCTTTTGAAAGGGGGGATTGGTATTTGAGAACTGGAAGGCTTGCTATAAATTGTCCAGCCTTTTCTTTTACTTAGGAGGAAACTAATGCCCAAAGTAATGCCATGAAGGCATAAAATGATGTTCTCTTACTCCTACTTCAATTATTTTTTCCATTGCAAACATTTCAAATTGTGAAAAATTAAAAGTAATTGATCAGAACCATATGTACTTAGTTAAAAGTACAGATGACGTGTGGTATCATCTATCAGGGATACATTTTTTACGTAGATCCTTGATGCCCATTTTCATGCCATGATTACCATACTATGGTTCGTTCTCTTTTTTTTTTACTTTCTGTTTTTAATAGACTTCCTCTTCCTTTCCATATGGCCTCAATAAATCAATTTTCTACCATTTTCTAGCAAAGATATATAACATGTACTTTCATTTTTAACTTTTTTCAAATAAAGTTCCCTTAGGGTGTTATAATATTAAGAACAAAATAAATATTGTAGTTTGCTGATGCTGATGGTTTCTGTAATAACCACATGGTGAGTGCCATGGAAATAATGCTAATATTTTTATTGTCACATTCTCTATGGGTCATGTACTTGCATCTGCTTAACAGCTGGGCTTGTCATATTGCAGGTTCCTGAGATAGAGAAAGGAGAAAAGGAGAACAGTACACTGCCATGATCATTACATTTCTTACTTCCTTCCAAATGGAAATACAGTTCTCTTTTAAAGCCTTTTTATTAAGAGGGGAAAACACTGCTTTTATTTACACCATTCAATGTGAGATAGAGATACCAATGGTGAGTCTACAGATTGTGGTCTTGCTGAGGGCTTGTGTCTTAGTCCATTTTCTGCTGCTAAGACAAGCAAACAAACAAACAAACAAAAAACCATAGACTGGGTAATGTACCCAGAAAATGAATCTATTTTGTTCACAGTTCTGGAGGCTGAGAATTCCAAGAGCATGACATCATAATCTAGTGAGGGTCTTTGTGCTGTCTCATCCCATGGTGGATGGTGGAAGAGCAAGTGAGTTGCAAAGGGGGCTGAACTCCTGAGATAACTAAGCCATTCCTTAAATAATGGGCTAATTTATTCATGAGAGCAGAGCCCTCATAGCTTGATCACATCTTAAAGGCCCCATCTCTTAATACTGTTACAGTGGCAATTTTCAGCATGAGTTTTGGAGGGGACAGTGTTCAAACTGTAGCAACTTGGTAAATATGGTTGTACTGGGAGACAATTCTTCATAGTTCCCTTACATTTCTGCACATTTTGTGAGCAGAGGCACTAACTATCTTTGTTCTGGATTATATTTTCAAGAATGTTTGGCTGGGCATGGTGGCTCACGCCTGTAATCCTAGCACTCTGGGAGGCTGAGGTGGGTGGATCATTTGAGCTCAGGAGTTCAAGACCAGTCTGAGCAAGAGCGAGACCCGTCTCTAATAAATACAGAAAGAAATTAGCTGGACAACTAAAAATATATAGAAAAAAATAGCCGGGCATGGCTGTAGTCCCAGTTACGAGGGAGGCTGAGGCAGTAGGATTGCTTGAGCCCAGGAGTTGGAGGTTGCTGTGAGCTATGATTACGCCACTCTAGCCAGGCCAACAGAGTGAGACTCTGTCTCGAAAAGAAAAGAAAAGAAAAGAAAAGAAAAGAAAAGAAAAGAAAAGAAAAGAAAAGAAAAAGATAAAAGAATGTTTGCATGCAAACTGTCTTGGAAGATACTATTTCCCTGTGGAGCAGAGGACAGATATGTTTATACAATATGATAATGTCTCCTTGGGGGCAAAGATTGAGCAGGTTTGTTTGCAGCCCATTATAAACGATAGGGGTTTCTTAAACATGGGGCTCCTCAGCTGTGATGTAAATCCAATGCATGTGCAGCATCCACCTGGTTGCTCTGTGGAATTTGGAGGGTAAGGGAACTTAACACAAATCTGAAGTTTATGTTGCCTTCTGTGCTGTGAGTGATAAAGTCCTTTGCCTCTGACCCAGAAGTCTTGTGCCTTCTTCCAGCATTCATGAAGCAGTAATAGGCTAATTCGTTAGTTTGAAAGTATAATAAAATTTCAGACTCTTTACAATTCTTGACATGTGGACCATTAACCATTGAGGAATCACACTTCCCAGGGAAATTGATTATGATCACAGAAAGAAACACATTTTTGTTTTCCAGAGAAATAAAGAAATTTGATCTTTTTGGCCAAAGGCTAAAATTTATTGTTAAAATGTTCATAAACCCCTGGTATTTGGGAATGTCATGACTAATGACTGGAAACAGGTTAACATGGAGATTGACCAGTCTTGGGCATTTATTGGGGCTTTTCTTGTGTCTCTAATATCATGACTGTAAGCAGCTATCTTCTCTACCTTCCTAGTAGATAAGACCTGGCCCTGAATCTTGTTTGTTATTTTGTGCCTTGGCAGGGATGAGGCAACCAAAGACTGTATGTCCATCAGAGCTTCAGTGAGATGATGACGCCCACAGCTCAGAGGTCCATTGAGATCAAAGACCTTACCTTGCCTGGGAGAGGACCAACTCGAACTGACCTAAAACACCACCTTTTAAACTGGCTTTCAGCCCCACCGCCTATATCAGGAGCTGTTCGCCTTCCTGTCAATAAATCAGTTGGCATTTGGAAACAAAGCCCACAAGGAGGAGAGGGGAGGGAGGTAGGGTTGGATTGAGGGGGTTGTGTAGGCCTCTGATTGCTTCAGGCAGAGAGCAATGGAGTTAAATTGAAGCTACCTTTGATAGAATCGGATTGTTGCTCTCTCAGTATCCACCTCATAGGGTAACTTCAGCACTAAAGAATAAAAATACATAGAATTTAAAATACTTGTCAGTGGATCAACTACTTGTTTGAAAAGCTCTTTAATCAATTTTCTACAAGCTCAGTAAAGATGAGTACTTATTTTATAGCAATTATGTGGCTGATCCCATGACAAATTTAAAAGATGATAACTCCAGTACTAAATAGTAACACAAAATTATGAAATTCTCATGCTCTTTATAACTTGAATTGTTTTTAACAGATTCTCTTTTTAGTAATGATTCAAGTAGTCAATCCAACACATTGTGCAGTAGCTGAAAAATGTTCCAGTTTGATTTTTGCATTTATAAGTTATTTCCTGATTTTTCACAGTAATTCGGTTTTACTCTAGAATACATTTTCAAATTATTAAAATATTTTATTGGATTTTGGGGGTAAGAAATCATTCTCACAAAGCCCAAAATCAGAAAATTCTATATATCATTTATTCTGTATGACCTTGACTAGATAATCTGCAGAAACTATGTCTAATAGCTATTTGAACGGTTTGGAAAACTCTCTCTCTTTGATATATGTGATAGTCATTACAGGAATTGAGAGATTTTCATTGCTAAACATTTCATGGTCTGAAATGTTTCTGGCTCTCCTGCTTTTAGGATCCCCCAACTTGGCCCTCAGCTTACTGTCCCCAATACCAACACACTCAGCATTCCATCATGGGATTCAGCATTTTAAAGAAGACTTTTAAAATCTAAAGCTAACTTTATTTATGTATCCCTTGCTTTTTGCTGAAATATATTCTTGGAAACCATAATAAAGCGAATGGTCAAAAAGCACATTGTGCTTTTCCATAGAAACATTATGTTTGAAGATTATGCTTATGAGCTAGAATTTAGCATTGTCTATATTTAGGTTTAATTAATAATTTACCATGAAAGCAATAATACAGCTATTATAAATTTTATTATTATTTTCAATATCAAATTTACATTATAAGTCTTATACCATGTGTAAAGAATGATTGTACCTAATGGGGACACAGGAATATAGTATTCAATATATGAGGGGTCATTAAAAATATTCATGGAAAATGTGTGTTGTGAAAAAACTATGCATAGATTTCAAAACCTTTCACACCAAAATAAATAATACTAACTTATTATAATATGTCTGAACAGGATCTAGTTTGAGGCACTAACAAGGAGAAGATATCCTTTTCAAAAGAGCCCCTATCAGAGCAACATGAATTCTGCTAAAATTGAGGCAAGAACAAACATGAAATTTATGGTGAAAATTGGGTGGAAGAATGATAAAATCATTGCTATTTTGAGAAAAGTTTATGGGGACAATGCCCCAAAGAAATTAGCAGTCTACAAATGGATAACTCATTTTAAGAAAGAATGAGATGATGTTGAAGGTGAAGCCCACAGTGATACACCATCCACATCAATTTTGAAGGAAAAATTCATCTTGTTCATGCTCTAATTGACAATTAATAGCTGAAACAATAGCCAACTCCATAGACATCTCAGTTGGTTCAGCTTACACAATTCTGACTGTAAAGTTAAAGTTGAGCAAACTTTCCACTTGATGGGTGCCAAAATTGTTGCATCCAGACCAGAGGTGGACAAGAACAGAGCACTCAATGGAAATTTTAAACAAGTGGGATCAAAATCTTGGAACATTTCTTTGAAAAATTGTAGCAGGAGATGGAACATGGCTTTACCAAAGACAAAGCACAATCCGAGTAATGGCTACCAAGAGGTGGAAGTGTCCAGTCAAAGCAAAAGTAGACTGCTCAAGAGCAAAGGTCATGGCAACATTTTTTTGGGATGCTCAATGCATTTTGCTTGTTGTCTTTTCGGATGACCAAAGAATGATAACATCTGCTTATTAAGAGAGTGTTTTAAGAAAGTTAGCCAAAGCTTTAGTGGAAAAATGCCCAGGAAAGCTACTTCACAGAGAATTTTTCACCACCACAACAATGGTTCTGCTCATTCCTCTCATCAAACAAGGGCAGTTTTGCGAGAGTTGCGATGGTGAATCATTGGGCATACATCTTACCGTCCTGATTTGGCAACTTCTGACTTCCTTTTGTTTCCTAATCTTAAAAACACTATAAAGGGCACCCATTTTTCTTCAATTAATAATGTAAAAAAGACTGCCTTGACATGATTAAATTTACAGGATGCTCAGTTCTTTAGAGATAGACTAAATAGGCTGGTATCATTGCTTACGAAAGTGTCTCGGACTTAATGGAGATTATATTGAAAAATAAAGTTTGTATTTTTAATTTTTATCTTTTAATTACATTTTTCCACAAACTTTTTGAAGTCTCCTCATATAATATTATATATACTACAACTTGAAAATAACATAAACTGCCAAAAAGAGTCATGCATTAAACATTTAGCTAACAGTTGAACTTACCTTCTTAGATATAGGAAAGTTTGAAGGATAATTTGGTTGGACTCATATCATTTACAAAAATACTTTAATCTTTCTTTAAGCTCTGGCCCATATGATAAGGCAAAAAAAGAAAATAAATAACACATAAGTATTGGAAAGGAAAGATAACATCATCATTTTTTGTGGTGTATATAATTGTCTATCTAGAAAACAGAAGAGATGAAAAAACTAACAAAAGCATCAGTAAAGAGGCTAGATAAGTTATACATAGTGAAACATTAATATATTTTCTCTATTAACAATAACTGATGAAATAATATAAAGAGACAAAATAAGACAAATGAGAAAAAAAATATATAGAATACCTAGTAACATACTTAATAAGGACTGTGTCAGGCTTATATGACAAAACTATAAATTCTACTGAGGGAAATACAGGAAGGCTTGGTTAAAGGAGCCTTCAACAGGAAGTTTCAATAGTATTAGTGGGTTAATTTAGTGGAAATTGTTGAACAGGAAGTTTAAATAGTATTAGTGGGTTAATTTAGTGGAAATTGTTATAATATTTCAATGCAATATCAGTGAGATCCTAATGGAATTTTTCTAACTTAAAAAATAATAAGAAGAAATCTACTTGAAAGAATATGCATGGAAGATTAATTAGAAATTTTTTGAAGAGTCATGAGGAAAGACTACACCTACCAGATATTAAAACATATTTTAAAGCTTTGGAAAGGAGAACTGATATATATATATATATATATGTGTGTGTGTGTGTGTGTGTGTATATATATATATATCTCAATAAAATTAAACAGAAAGCCCAGAAATAGGTCAATATATTTTAGTTATATAATTTCTGTATGTCTCACTTGTAAATTGGGGTAACAGTTATGCCTGTCTCATAAGCTTATTGTGACATATTTAATACATGCAAAGTTTTCGAAACAGTGCCTGGCATTCAATAAGTGCTATGGAATTATTTGCTGTATTGTGATATAATACAGTGATATTTTACTAACCAAAACTGATTTGGTTTAAAATTGCACCCTATTTTCTAGAATATTTATTTATTATAGTTATTTAAAAAATAATGTTATGTTTCTCTGAGTGATTTCCCATTTTCTTTGAGACTCAGCTTTTAATAATTGTGGTTTTTGTCTACCATGGTGATTTTCAAGAATATAAATACTGTGTTATAAATACCAAGTCTGATGAAAAATTATTCCATGTGGATTATTTAGTAAATGGTGCTGGGAAAACTGGATAACTGTTTGAATAAAAACAAAGGTAACATCTCCCTCACATATGATACCAAAATAAATTCCAGATAAACGTAGAGATTAAAATGTAAAAAACCAAACAAAAACAAAAACCAAAAATGATATGAGCTAAAAGAAAATATAGATTTATTAAACACTTTAGTATTATAAAAATTAGTACTTCATTACTTTCATATACTATTAGTTGGAAAATATATTTATATAATCTATTTGAAAGGAAATTTGACAATGCATATCAAAAGTATTTGGAGGAAAATTTGGAAATACTTATCAGTGTTATGAAATGTGTATATCCTTTGACTTACTAACTCTGCTTATGGGTATTTGTCCTGAGGAAATAATAGGACAAGTATGCAAAGATGAATGTTTTAGTGTTGATTGCAGTATTGTTCATAATAGTAAAAATTAGAAATAAATATATAAATACCAATAAAAGATTAGCTAATTAAACTATAATAGATTCAAACAATATAATGGAATATACTGTAGCAATTAAAACAACTTATTATTAAATTAAAAGCAAGTCAAGGCCAGGTGCAGTGGCTCATGCTCACTCTGGGAGGCCCAGGCGGGAGGATAGTTTGAGCGCAGGAGTTCGAGACCAGCTCTGAGCAAGAACGAAACCCCATCTCTACTAAAAAATAGAAAGAAATTAGCTGGACAAATTAAAATATATATAAAAAAATTAGCCTGGGGACGGTGGCACATGCCTGTAGTCCCAGCTACTTGGGAGGCTGAGGCAGGAGGGTCACCTGAGCCCAGGAGTTTGAGGTTGCTGTGAACGAGGCTGATGCCACGGCACTCTAGCCCGGGCAACAGAGTGAGACAATGTCTCAAAAAAAAGCAGGTCAAAACAGATTAAATGATTAAATGTAGACATCAGTAGAAAAATTGAAAAAATATTAATGTTAAAAATTTAAAGAAACTTCTAGAACAGTTATTCTCAAACTGTAGTCCTCTGGACCAAGAATACCATATCATCTAAGAATGTGTTAGAAATGTAAATCCTCACCCAGGAACCCTTCCAAAATAGTAATTTTAAACAACAAAATCCAAATATGGTTCTTTGAAAGACTAATAAAATAGACAAACCTCTGGCAAATCTGATGAAGAAGAAGAAAAGGAAAATCAGCAATAAACACAGGAATAACAAAAGATAACTATTGATACAGGGGTATTTTTTAAATTGTAAGATAGTGTCTTATACATCTTATGGCAACAAGTTTGAAAATCTAGACAAAATGGGATGCTTCTCTAGAAAAATGTGGACAATCAAGATTGACCAAAGAAGAATTAAAAAGTGGAAATAGATCAAAACCCAAGTTTAATTGTAGAGTTCCCCCCTACCTATAAAAAATAGAAAATTCCTGTACTATGGAAACTTCCATATCATAGAAAATAAGAAGTAGCTTTCTAACTCATTCCACACTACGCTAGTACTAATATCAAAACAATGGAATGAATAGCACAAAAAGAGTATAGAGTAATCTGTTCTCACTTATAAAAAAACCTAGATAAAATTTTAGAATATAGAATCCAGCATAATATTAAAATAATAATAAATTATGACTCAATAGGATTTCTCAAAGAATGTGAGAAGTTTACCATCTATGAATATAATAATATTAATAGATTAAAGAAAAAAGAATATGATTGATTATCTGAATATCTCAAAAACCCAAAACATTTAAAAATTCAACATCCATTTATGATAATTATTATAACAACAAATTATTCCTGGCTATTCTTCTCTTAAGCCAGGAATATAAGGAAATTCCTCCATCTGGTAAATATTGTCTACCAGAAATGTGCAGTGAATTGATCCTAATTGTGAAACACTTGATCACTTCCATTGGAGTCTCAATCTTATTATGTCTGCTTCTAGTTAACATTTTGTTGGGGTTTTTAGTGTTATAAAGCACAAATAGAGGAACAATAATGGAAAGAAACAGTTAATGGTCACTATTTTCCGGTGATATTTTCTTACCTAGAAAACTAAAGAGACTCAATGATAAAAACTATTTGAACTTATATGAAAGTTCAAAGTAAGAGAGCAAGATTCAAAATTAAGGTAAAAAATAACCCAAAAACAAAATTAAGGTACAAATCTTAATTAACAATAAACAAGTAGAAAAATGTGGGAAGAATATGTTACTCATAATGGCATCAAGTTCCATAAAAGACCTAGAAATAAATTTAACAAGAAGTATGCAAGACTTTTATGTGAGAACTATAAAACTTTTCTGGATTTTATGAAAATGAAAAAAAAAAAAAAAAACACCTTGAATAAATGGAGAGACATAACCATGTGCCCAGATGGAGAGATCCAATGTTGTAGAGCTATCCAGTATCTCAAATTCATCTGTAAAGTCAAAGTAATCCAGTCCTAATTCCAACAGGATTCTTCATGGAACTTGAAAAGTCCATTCTGAATTGCATTCAAAAGGGAAAATGAGCAGAAGTAGCTGAGAGAATGTTGGGGAGAAAATGACTTTAATGGAGGACTTGCTCTGTTAAACAGCAAAATGTAAACTGATACAATGTGTATTAGTCATTTATTGCTGTGTAACCAAGTACCCCAAAATTTAGCATCTTAAAATGAATATTTATTGTCTCATGGAGTTTCTGAGAATGAGCAGTACAGGAGTGGCTTACTGGCTCAGGTTTTTCATGAAATTGCAGTCTTCTAAGCTTAGTCAGGTGGCTGTTGGCAGAAGGCTGCCATGTCTCATCACAGGGCTGCTCAGTGGACACAGCATCTGGTTCCCCCAGAGCAAGTGATGAGAGAAAGAGAATCCAGAATGGAACTGACAAGCCATTACTTCTGCAGTATGCTATTGGTCACATAGACCAACACTAGCACAACATGGATGGTGACCACACAGGTATGTGAATACCAGGACTCAGGGAATCACTGGTGAGGCAGACATACAGTGGTCATATAAACAGTGTGGTATTAGCACAGGAAGAAATAAATTGACCTACAGAATAACATAGAAATTCAGAAATTGACCATGTATATATAGGATTTTAGTTTATGCTAAGGGTACAAGTTCAAATCTGTGAGAAATGACATTTCAATACACTGTGTTATGAAATTCACTGTCCATTTATAAAAAGAATCATGTTAGAGACCCATTTATACCATACCCCCAAGTAAAATTCAGAAACATTAAAGAGGTAAAAAGCACATACACATATATTTAAATATAGGAAAATATTTTTAATAAAAATTTTTAATCAGTTTACAGTAGGAATGACCTTTTCAATTCACAAATGTACAAAAATTAGAAGCTTTAAAGTAAAATATTGACATGTTTCATTACAGTAAAAAAACAACAACAATAAAACAAATCTTCTACAGGACAAAAGAGAATAAACAAACTTAAAGACAAATAAAAAGTTATTAAAATATAGTTAGGATACATTTTATAGAAAAGATAACACCCACATTGTACAAAGAGCTCCCATAATAAGGTACAAGGACAATATCATTAGTAAAAAGGGCAAAATAATGTAAAGAAAAAAATTTGTGGAAG